CCCCCCATCACCCACACTCAAATATGACAATTCTCGATTTCCAATGGTACCCTTTACAGTTTTGTTTCATCAAGCATGAATTATATATCTCTGTTAATAAGTTGGAAAACTGGTTATTTTTCCTTGTGATTTCTCTACTAAAGATAGTTCTACTGCCATACAAAAAAAAAAAATATGAATTATCAGAGGTAAACCTTTTTAAACCTAGAAACATGAAATATCTTAAACAAGAAACCATGAAATATCTTAAACCAGGAACCATGAAATACCTTTTTAAACCTAGAAACATGGCAATATCTTCCACATTAATGATCAGATACGCTTTCCTTTAAATAAAAGGATAACCCATTAATAACTTTTAAAATTTAGGGCGGAAACTTTCTTAGATCGAAATTAATTCTTAACTAATTTTCCAATAAATCTAGATTCTATTCTACACAATTAGCTATAAGTGTGACATGCTGGAAAAAGTTTCCAAATGGAATAATAGTCACGTGATCTTTTTTCAACTCATATCTAGCTCTGTGTAGCATCTAAGGGGTAGATAGGTAGTCTATTTAGGCATAGGGCTTGGACTTTGGAGTTCATTGTTGGCCGCGTATAATGGGCAATTTTCTAATTGTTGATATTTTGACTTTTTCACTCAGGCCTTAAAGCTTTTGGAATCTTTTTGGTAAGTCATAATTCTTCTTTATTAAATTTCCTCCATTTGTATAGAAAATGTTTTACCTTCTTGTGTAATAGATAATTCTTATAGCGCTCTCTTATAAATTCACATGTCTTAAATAAGGACAGAAAAAAAGGATTAAATCAAAAACTTTTAAAAAGTCTAAAATTAACAGTTTCCTATATTTGTTCTTGCTTTTTTATGACACTTCTAATCTTTTATCCCAAAACATTGAAGGTTATTTGATTTTTGATAATCTGAGATTTATCCTGATATTAAAAATGGAAGTTTGCTTATTTTACATTCTGTAAAATGTGTATTCTGCCTATGGGAGTACGAAATTTAATAGAAGGGAGAAATAACTGACGCGGTTCGCCCTACCATATGATTATACATGCTTTACAGACGGTACTTCATTTGTATAAGAAATATTCAGAATAGGTTATTGTATACGCGGTAATTGTACATGAGACAAATATTTCTTATACAAATGAAGTACCGTCTGCAAAGCATTTATAATCATATGGTAGGGCGAACCGCGTCAGTTATTTCTCCCTTCTATTCCTTACTCCCTGATTCTACCCAAAAATAAGTATTTTGGTTAAATTCTTTGGTAAAAGACAAATTTTGGCTTATTGTGAACTTGTAATAGTTGTAAAATCATATGCTTCATCAGCGATGTAGACAACTAAAAAATGGTACATAATACATAATCTGAGTACACTGTACAATGTACAGTTTACAATGTACATTGTACAATGTACAGTGATGGGCCTTTTTTAGCTTTTTTTATCCGTTTATTCATCGTTTGTAAACAAGCCATTGCATTCCTGTTTTTTTTCAATTGTTCAAAAAAATTCTGTTTGTTCGTTCTCAAATTTTTGTTCATATTCCATTAGTTTTGTTCGATTTTTCACCGAAGGATTGTTCAGTAAATTCGTTCGTTTAGATAAGTTTTTTTCATCAACATCGTTTGTTCAGTAAAATAAACGATAGTTTCTCTAAACAATCGAAATCGTTCGTCCATCGTTCGTTTTTTCTGAACAACGCCGTCGTTCACTAAAAATTTCGTTTATTCTAATATGATACCCATCTCTNATAACTGGCATTTTTTTAAGCTTTAGTTTTTTCCTTCCACAGATTTTTCCGGGGGTTTATTACATTGCTCCCTTTATAGTAATGTACACAATTTAAATACATCTGAGCAAGGGGTCTATTCAAAGAGAATAGAATATATATTTATCTAACAGCTTTAAAAAATTCGAAATTGAAGTGGATAGTCTAGGGAGCATACTGTATTAATGTATTCTACTGCATCTAATTTGTGAACATTTACATGATGTGTACACTTTGAACTCCCTTTCAGGCTGAAAGGGACTGACAAAATTCATACCGAAGGATTTTCTAAATTCCACTCTAATATATATTCTATTCTCTTTGGGTCTATTGTACTTCTTTGCTACTTATTGTATTTCTTCTCTGCAGTTTTCCCCACAATTCCCACAATAGACTGTCATAATATAATAGGAAAAGAAGAGATATATAACTATATACGTTGTGCATTTTCCTCATTTATGAAGAGTGTGAATACACAGGAAAGTTTACAGTGATCGTATACTGATAATATGAAAAAGTCAACATGCAGCAAAAATGTTTCAATTAAAGCTAAAAATTTGTGAGTTTTCTGCAAGAAAAGAAACTGTCAAAAAAAGAAATTGTCAAAACAAACGACGTTTTCTTTAACATTTTTAATCAAATTCAGGTTTTGAATGTCGTGGATTACTAAAAATGACGACGACAATCTTGATGTGGATTATCCCTAGCGTCCATATTTGAAGTTAGATCATCTTCTGTCCAACTAGTTCGAACTCTATCTCTAACATCTCGATGAGTTCCATATCTTATTACAAATTGATTTGGAATTAAATTTGTTCACAGCTTGACATTAAATCAAATTAATGTTTTTTTTTATTTATAAGGGTGATATTTCCTATTTACAAAGGTACCCTTTGCATTTATATCTGAGTAAAATTGTGTAAGACAGTTTTTTTTTCTTGATAGGTGTTCAATTTTCGTAAATTCGCAAAAAAATCTTAATCAGAAAAAAGAATACATGCCACTTTAAAAAAGGGCCTGATTTAACATGGTAATAAGTTTAAAGTCTTGTTTACTAATCTCTATATCTATCTATCAATGTCGTAGACCTTAGACATTTCAATTATATATTCTGTTAGATCATATAATCTAAGTTTGAAATATCAAAGGTTTACACTATCAGGTAAAAAGATAAAGGGATAACTCAATTCCCTCAAAGACACTATATATTTTCTGAATGATGAATTTTCATTAAGATAAAATTATTTAAAGAAAAAGCCTATTTTTTATATTCTATAAGTTTAATTACATACAATATATATTGCAAGAATTGTAATTGAAATTACATATACTTATGCTGCATGCATATATTTACATGTATATATATACATATATATACATATGTATATATATATATATTATATATATTATATGCAGGCTTCAGTGCGTTTTAAGAAAGCTATAAAGTGTTGAAATCAAAAGAGCGGAAGTGGGATTAAAAAGAGATTTAGGCGAAAATTAATAAAAAAATTTTAAAAAAAAATTGAACAACTGTAAGCAAATACTGTTGAAGTTGTTTAAAAAAATAAGTTAAAATCCAATGCCTACCTATCAAAGGCGCCGTGCCAAACCCATTCTCCATGTTCTAAAATCCAGGAAGGAATTGATTCTTCCATCTTATAGAGCTGGGTTAGAATTAGAGATTAATGTGATTTAATGTTAAGGGTTAGCTAGACTAGAGCGTAATGCAACATTAATTAACTTTAAGGTTGATTACCGTAATGGATTCCAGTGTACCTTTCGTTTTTAACTATTATTAACGATTTTCAGATTATTAACAGTTTTCCTATAGTTTTAATAGATGAGAGCAAAGTCTGAAATGGCGGGGTACTTGTCCTGCGACAGTCAACGACAAAGAATTGTTAACAAGATTGACACATGTTTATTCCAATGCAGGCAAAGCATCAAATTCACAGTACTTCAAATGTGAATTCAAAAAATACAAATTACTTAAAAGGTAAAAAAAACAGTTTTGCAAATCTGTAATATTAAAACTATGTTGGTTAACATGTTTTTTCAAAGCCTTACTACCGTATACAGTTTCAAAAAAAGTATCTGTTTAGCTTATTACTAGCAAAAGGGACAATATGATAAAAAATAAATAGTATGTTTAAGAAACTGACCGTTTAAAGAGACTGTAAGCGTCTTTTTAATTAAGAAACCCCTATTCAAAGATGGCAATGTCCGATTCACAACGATACCCTTAAAATCATTGTCTGATCAAGTATTAAATATCAATATTTATTTTTTAAAACTGCATGATTAATTCTAATTTTGTAATTTATCTAAAAAGGTGACTTGCATATTTCTGCTGCAGGACAGCTTATAGATATTATCAGAAATCATCAGAAAAACAAGTTGGGTTTGTCCTAGAGAACGATTTTTGGAACCCCCCCCCCCCTCCTCCCCCTCCTTTCAATTTTGTACTTGACCACTTTTTTCAGCAAAATCATTTTTATTTATTTTTTATTATTTTAGGGTTAGGTTAGGTTAAGAAAATTTCTGGGCCGCTCCAGCTAGGACAGGCTAAGGGGCCGATCGCCGCGGCTAGGACAGGATAAAGGCCACAGGACCAATTATATCCATGTGCTCCATATTATATTATAGAATTTGAATAAAAGAAACTCAATAAAGTTTCATAATATAAACTTACTTCACAACGCTGGAATTATAACACAAATGAACACAAAAAAAATACTTTATTTGATAATGAAAAAAGGATCAAACAGTTGGTATTAAAATATTGTAGAGACAAAACATCTTGGAGACGAAGTACTCCTTGTACCGTGCTCGGCCAGAGATTGCGAGAACTGGAGAGCCTAACCCGACTCTCCCCTATCTTCATGTTCAACGAACCCAAGCTCTCCCTAGCGTCTGATGCGCTATAGGAAAGTCCCTTGACTTCGTTCTATTAACAGCATGTTTGTATATGATAACAGAACACAAAAAACTAGAAAGGGGTATTATTTCCCCTATGACTATCATATATACAGTTTATCAAAAAACCATCCTTCTGGCTCGGATTACATTATGAGATACATGCACAAAATTGAAAGGAGGGGGGGGGGGGTCCAAAAATGTTCTTTTGGAAATTACCAACAAGTTTAACCCTAGAAAAAATAACATTATCTTCCACATTACTGATCAGATAGAAGTTTACATGTACCGTTGTGAATCGGGCATTGACATCTTTTATGCATGGAGGTTCAGTTGAAATTACGCCTAATAACTCTTTAAATAAAAAACATTGGTTTATTTCCGCAAGGTTGCCCGGGTCTACCTTCTCGTTAATATTTATATCAGTAAATTCATTTACATCTAGTGGAACATTTATTCCTTCAAGACCTTCTAAACCTCCCCGGGCCTACCTTCTCGTTGATATTTATAATAGTATCTTCATCTACATCTAGTGGAACATTTACACCTTCAAGACCTTCTAAACCTCCCCGGGCCTACCTTCTCGTTGATATTTATAACAGTATCTTCATCTACATCTAGTGGAACATTTACAACTTCAAGACCTTCAAAACCTGCTCAGGCCTACCTTCTCGTTGATATTTGTAATAGTATCTTCATCTACATCTAGTGGAACATTTACACCTTCAAGACCTTCTAAACCTCCCCGGGCCTACCTTCTCGTTGATATTTGTAATAGTATCTTCATCTACATCTAGTGGAACATTTACACCTTCAAGACCTTCAAAACCTGCAAAGAGAGTAAAACTTAGACATAGGGGATATACAGGGTTACCCACACATAATGAGACTACAGAGACTACTGTACGGAATTTTTTCAGTCTTTAGTCTTAAATTGCAACTATACAATTTTTTTTATTCTTTGAATGTTTTAATTAGGAAAATACTGTAGTCAAGATAAAAGACAGACTTAAATCTTTTAATGGAAGGTTTTTGGTCGTTATTGAAGTTTCTTTATTTGTGAGTAGTTTGTTTTTACTCTGGAAACTACAGGGCGGTCCAAAAAGGATGAGACTGTAAAGACGACACAGAACTCTTAAATTATGAAGATCTCAAGATTAAATTGAGACTTTAAATTGAGTCTTTAACTGAGACATATTCGTGAATATAATGTAATAGACAAATGTATCTGAAGTCACATTCTTTGTAGGTAACCCTGTATATCTATGGTAATAATTAATTGACAGATAGATAAATATTTCTTAAAACTTGAAAAGTACATATCTATATAAAACACTGCCAATCACGGCATACAAGTTGTTCCTTGAATCCATTATGATGTGGGACCCACTGGTCAAATAACCTTTAAATTCTAGATACAGTAAATTCTAATTTATCTGCGCTTTAAATATTATTAATTATGCGTAATTTATTTTCAAACTGAAGAATCCTTTTAAAATTGCGACTGATGAGAAAAAAACTATAGTATCTACGCAGTTTAAGAGATGAATGATTCTACGCAGTAAAGGATAAAAGATTTATGTTTTTGTCTTTCCTAAGAGATACATACTCAACTATCCTCTTGAAATCAAAATGTTGGACAAATATTTCTTTCTGTAAACTTTAAACTACAGGGTGTCCCAATAAACATGGGAATTCAGTGACGAATTCGATATCGTCTTTTTAAATAATTCTTTGATTTAGAATAGTGATTCCTACTGAAAAAGCTGTGATCTGAAAGAGTTTCGTTTGTTTATGTGTTGACTGCATACGGTTGTACTTAGTAAAATAAGAAAATTGCAGTATACAAACAGTGTAAACTTGTCCGTATTCACTGTTCATCTTGCGGAGACATAATAAAATAAACTCTAGCAGACATAATAATATTATATGGCTTTTGAAATTAGGTATTACAATGCTAATTCATAACAAAGACGATATAGAATTCTTCACTGAATTCCCATGTGTTTGGGACACCCTGTATAAAAGGCATTTATACAATTTTGCAATATTTATTGGATTTTTTTTCGAACCAAACAAGGAAAATAAAATTTGACAAAACTTTCCTTATTCTTGAAAATACAGATAAAATTGATTTTAAATTGAATTTAAATAAATTTGTATTGACTAAAAATTGAAAATACAAAGAATACTTCAAATATAGAGGAAAATAAAAACTTTAAATCAACAAAATTAAATATTTTTTTCCAATGGTAGTTTAGTTGTTCTATACAGTGGCTGACATTAATATGAATACAATGAAGACGAATTTTCCATGTGTGTTTGATTTCCAACATACTTTTTTCATATTTCAGGGTTACAAGCAAACAAAGAGATAGTGTTAATTTATGTTTATGTGTATCTTATGCTGACTGGGGTACGATATCATCACTATCTGCAGATTGACTTTGGAAAAACGCCGGTCTCTTCAGCTAGTATAAGCTATTACAAGACTATATTCAAGGGAGAAGACTTGATTTAAATGCGTCGTATTTTAAAAATGTTAGGTCATCTTTACAGTCTCCCACATTCTGGATAACTCTGAACGAAGATTAAAAAACTCTGTTTACCTACGGTGGAAAAAAATATTAGAAACCCAAATGGTCTATTTCTCGATATTAACATTTTGATCAGTTCTATGTCTGGTCAGTGGCAGATGCTCATCTAAAATAGATTAAAAATAATTATTAAATGGTAAAGTTTAATAACATTTTAATTAAACATGCATCGGCTAGAGCTTAACTCGAAGGGATAGAATTATATAATTGGATTTTCGAATGCAGAGAGTACGTGCTACGTATAACACTAAATTATATTTAAGTTACATCAATTATCTAAAATCATAGACATCTTATATATTTCCAGTAACCCTCCATTTACAGAGTTCCATGTCTGATTCACAATGGTACTCTTATCAACGGTCGTCTGTGCAAGAATGGTCCTAAATACAAAGGAGTTACGAGCTCACAAAGTTTAACCAACAAAGGAAAGGGTGCCATTGTACAATGGGGGGAAAGAGTGTCTTTGTACAATGGGAGGAAAGGGTGCTATTGTACAATGGGAGGAAAGGGTGATATTGTACAATGGGGGGAAAGAGTGCTACTGTACAATGGGAGGAAAGGATGCCATTGTACAATGGGAGGAAAGGGCGCTATTGTACAATGGGAGGAAATGGTGCCAATGTACAATGGGGGGAAAGTGTGCTATTGTGCAATGGGAGGAAAGGGTGTCAATGTACAATGGGAGGAAAGGGTGCTATTGTACAATGGGAGGAAAGGGTGCCAATGTACAATGGGGGGAAAGGGTGCTATTGTACAATGGGAGGAAAGGTTGCTACTGTACAATGGGAGGAAAGGGTGCCATTGTACAATGGGAGGAAAGAGTGTCATTGTACAATGGGAGGAAAGGGTGCTACTGCACAATGGGAGGAAAGGTTGCTACTGTACAATGGGAGGAAAGGGTGCCATTGTACAATGGGAGGAAAGAGTGTCATTGTACAATGGGAGGAAAGGGTGCCATCGTACAATGGGAGGAAAGGGTATCATTGTACAATGGGAGGAAAGGATGCCATTGTACAATGGGAGAAAAGGGTGCCATTGTACAATGGGGGGAAAGGGTGCTATTGTACAATTGGAGGAAAGGGTGCTATTGTACAATGGGGGGAAAGGGTGCTACTGTACAATGGGAGAAAAGGGTGCCATTGTACAATGGGAGGAAAGGGTGCTATTGTACAATGGGAGGAAAGGGTGCTACTATACAATGGCAGGAAAGGGTGCCATTGTACAATGGGAGGACAGAGTGAAGGCCACTTGAAATTACGATTACAGTCTCTTTAAACAAAATAAGACAAGTGGAAAATCTAAATTTGCAACTTTTTATCTGATATAATTAGAATATGAAATATTTAAAATTTTACTTTTTACTAGTTAGATGATGAGGGCCGGTATAGAGATTAAAAATTATTTTATTTCAAAATGGAATTTTAAATTAAAAAAATGAAGATTTCGTTCACCCAGAATGCACTTTAAATCAAAAGACTGAATGCACTTGATCCCTTCTGATTAACTGATGCAATTTTGACCTTGCATTTATAATTCGCATTTCAAATTTGCACTTGCACTTTTTAAATATTTTGTTGCATAATTGTGCACATGTATATTAATAAACAAGTTTTAATTTATCTGACTGCTATCGATATTTTACATTTTGTTTTATTATCGGACAAAGAAAAGTATTTTAAACATTTTGGAATAAAAAAGAATTAAAAAAATAAAACAGATGGCGTTGACGAAAGGTAAAAAAACGCAATTTTTCACCTTTTCCTAAATATTTGAATAAAACAAAAATTCTTTCAAAATATTGTCAAAATTAAGTTAAATAATTTCCAAAATGGTAAATCTCTTAATGATTTAAAAAAGCCAAAACTGGAACGAAAAACAGTAAAATGAAAGACTTCATTAGGAAGATTACTTTAAAATGACAAATATCGTGTTCACGCTAGTTTTACCCTAATGCTTCTTCATGATTCCAGATCCTCAAACATGATTGCAGAACCTTAAACATGATTCCAGATCCTCAAACATGATTCCAGATCCTCAAACATATTTCCATGCAGATCCTCAAAAATAATTCCAGATCCTTAAACATGGTTCCAGATCCTTAAACATGGTTCAAGATCCTCAAACATGATTCCAGATCCTTTAACATGGTTCCAGATCCTCAAACATGATTCCAAATCCACAAACATGATTAAAGATCCTCAAACATAATTCAAGATCCTTAAGCATGGTTCCAGATCCTCAAACATGTTTCTAGATTCTCAAACATGATTCTAGATCCTCAAACGTGTTTTCAGATCCTTAAATATGATTCCAGATTCTCAAACATGATCCCAGCTCCTTAAACATGTTTCCAGATCCTCAAATATAATTCCAGATTCTCAAACATGATTCCAGATCCTGAAACATGATTCCAGATCCTTAAAATTGTTTCCGGATCCTGAAACATGATTCCAGATCCTCAAACATGTTTCTGGATCCTGAAACTTGACTCCAGATCCTCAAACAAAGTTCCAGATCCTGAAACATGATTCCAGATTCTCAAACATGATTCCAGATCCTGAAACATGATTCCAGATCCTCAAACATAGTTCCAGATCCTTAATCATGGTTCCAGATCCTCAAACATTATTCCAGATTCTCAAATATGTTTCCGGATCCTGAAACATGATTTCAGATCCTCAAACATAGTTTCAGATCCTTAAACATGGTTCCAGATCCTCAAACATGTTTGCCGATCCTCAAACATGATTCCAGATTCACAAACATTATTCTTGATCCCAAACATGATTCTAGATACCCAAAAATTGTTCCAGATCCTTAAACATGGTTCCAGATCCTCAAAAATGATTCAAGATCCACAAACATGATTCCAGATCCACAAACATGATTCAAGATCCACAAACATGATTCAAGATCCACAAACATGATTCAAGATCCACAAACATGGTCTCAGATCCTTAACCATGATTCCAGATCTACAAACATGGTTCCAGATCCACAAACATGGTCTCAGATCCTTAACCATGATTCCAGATCTACAAACATGGTTCCAGATCCACAAACATGGTCTCAGATCCTTAACCATGATTCCAGATCTACAAACATGGTTCCAGATCCACAAACATGGTCTCAGATCCTTAACCATGATTCCAGATCTACAAACATGGTTCCAGATCCACAAACATGGTTCCAGATCCACAAACATGGTTTCAGATCCACAAACATGATTCAAGATCCACAAACATGGTTTCAGATCCTTAAACATGGTTCCAGATCTACAATTATGATTCCAGATCCACAAACATGGTTCCAGATCCACAAACATGACTCCAGATCTACAAACATGATTCTAGATCCACAAACATGGTTTCCGATCCTCAAACATTGTTCCAGATCCTTAACCATGATTCCAGATCTACAAACATGGTTCCAGATCCACAAACATGGTTCCAGATCTGCAAACATGGTTCCAGATCTACAATTATGATTCCAGATCCACAAACATGGTTCCAGATCTGCAAACATGGTTCCACAAACATGATTTCAGATCTACAAACATGATTCCAGATCCACAAACATGATTCCAGATCCTCAATAAATGGTTTCAGATGCTCAAACTTGCCCTCTTTAGATGCATCAAAGAAACAAATTTGTTTCAGTAAATTTCAAGATTTTTTTGTAATTTTAACTTTAATTCAAATTCATTTTGATGCTATTTTTGTTTTAGGATATTGTAGTGCCCCTGAGAAGTTGCTGTGTATATTCAGTTTTGTCTCTCTAAACCGGTTTCTGTGTAAACCTTACTATTTACTGCAACCTGACCAGCAGTTGAGTTAGCGTAAAGCTACACGCCTAGGGTTTAGGATCTCTTCAGTTTACTTTATCTTCTATGTGATTTGAAGATTGTTTACGAGATCTGATCGTGTTTTACCCTTAAACTTATTTTTACTGCAAAGTTCATTGAAGAGGTTGCTGCAGAAACGTAGGTATTGGCTTTTGAATGATTTATTTTATCTTGGTAACATTCTAGTTTTAATGCCATTTGCAAATATTTTACACATTGGTTGAGACTTATGTCATTTTTTTAATGAAAATCAATGTCTAATTTGTGCACTGTTAAAGTTTTATAAATTCACGGAATGTTATATAATGCACCTTAAATATTTGTAGTTTTATTATTTAGCTGTAACTTTTATTTTCATTATTGTGATGATGTTTGATTCTTTCTACTCCTTCGGAGAATAGAAGAGTATGGGTCGGACAACTACTCAGAGACGTTCTCCTTCTCATTTCGATTCCAACTCCGGTTTCAAACCTAATTAGAAACCGAGTATTAGGTGAGTTTTATTGTTTGTTCATTCTCCCATCATCATTTGCTTTTTCTTTCAGTTTTCTGGAAGTTTACAGGAATTGTAAGGCCGTATTTTGATTAGTTTTTTTTAACCTGTTTTGTATCCTGTTTATAAACCCAAGTTATAAAATAAATCTAGAATTGTATCTCATCTTTACTCCTTGGACGGCGATACAGATATATCACATAAACTATCATCGAAAAAAAAGTTAAGTTTTCTTTGGAATGCTTAGGGTTTTTGTGTTTGTTAAAGTACAGGATGATAATTCAGAGACGACCGTTTGGAATTTAAAATTTCTGTTTTCTCATGTTCGTGATTTTCTGCAACTGTAACAATTTTTTTGTCCAATTATATAAAAAAAATTAATATTTATGGGTATTTGTGTGTTATACAATATAGCAATTAGACATTATTTTGGCTAAAATTATCCCAACTTTCTATATTTTTGTGTACATTTTTGTACATTTTATCAAGCAGAATGGTGTCCCAATAAACATGGGACTAAAGAGACAACGTTAAAATCTTATTTAATTTCCGATACTTTATAAATGACACAGGGTGTATACCTTCCTTCTTTATATCTGTAGTAAATGCCGTACTCTTAAAAGTTCCTCCCAAACTGTATCAGTCCAGGTACCGCTATCAAAGGCTCTAAATGCCACACAGGGACACAAGCGTATGCTATATAACAGGCTATTTTTACCGTGATACAACCCACCTAGCCCTAAATGCCACACAGAGACACAATTGCGTAGCTATCCAACAAGCTATCAATTTAGTGCTCTAAGGACACAAGCGTAGCTATTCAAACAAGCTATTCAATCGATCTCTATTTATGCTGAGGTAGGATCTCAACCCAAATATTTACAGATACTGCTTAATGTTTATCTCATTTCACAGGGTGGGCTACGTAGGCCTAAGTTGACCCTGCACGACATGCTACGTTTTTATGATAGGTTTTTAGAGTGCCATCTCACGACCACTTGTTGAATATAAAACCCATACTGGAGTTGAGTAAATTACAACTTTTAAAGAAATACTCAAATTTTACACATAAAACATTACATTTATGAATTCAGTCTATTTTTGAAGATTTTGTGTTTTGTATCCCAAGGATCCTTAAATATCCATGAATACAGATTTTTGCTGATTGGTCGTGTACACAATAGAACATGCTGTGGAAAATATCGCATATCATAGGTTTCAATCGATCTCTGTAACTCTCTTATCTATGGTTTTAGGTATAAGTTTACAAAAATAGGTATTTAATAATGTACAATGTACTGCAAGTTTACAGAAAATCATGTTACCGGATATTTATTACTAAGCTTCCTTCTTTTTTATCTTACTTACTTCATATTGTCACTTAATTCCTGGGCATGCATATCGGGACACCCTGTATGTACATACCACGAAATAAACTACAATTTTGACTGTAGTTAACCTTACATATCTCTCTAAAAGGTACAGTTTTGCCAGCTTTACAGATACAATAGGTAGACAGTAGACATACATACACAAATACAACAGACGGACAGCATATATTGTAATGATGTTGTGATTTTGTTGATCTTTTACGATCAGCGGTTCAAGGGATTTTAAGATTGCTGCGATCATAGATATTAGGGGTTTTCAACCCCCCTTTTGTACAGTTCTAATGAAATAACGATTTTATAATGTTTACTTGAAAATGTGGGGAAGAACAAGCCACGCTTATCTATTTTTAACCCAAGCGACGCCAACTCCATTATCTTGGAAAGAGGGTTGGCGCGGGTATCGGCCCAAGGGGCAAGCATAGCTAGGGTTAAATCCAAGGAGGGTGAGGGGAGGTTCCCTGGTAGGAAAACAGTTCGAGACGAACCCTTTCGATGTGAAGACGGGGAATTTTATGAGAAAACTTCCACTGTCAACAATTATTTATTTTTCATTGATCCTATAGTATTTTTTCATTTTCTCTATGTTTGTATAAAGTATAATAAATTTGTAAAACCATGCTTAAATATTTGAATGTTTGAGTTGTTGATAAATTTATTTTTTACCATATTCTAGAATATCTATAGATAGTTAATATATCAGTATCCTTGAATCTACCCTATCTCCAGGTGTATATCTATAGATAGTTAATATATCAGTATCCTTGAATCTACCAAATCTCCAGGTATATATCTATATAGATAGTTAACATATCAGTATCCTTGAATCTACCCTATCTCCAAGTATTTATCTATATAGATAGTTAACATATCAGTATCCTTGAATCTACTCTATCTCCAGGTATATATCTATATAGATAGTTAACATATCAGTATCCTTGAATCTACACTATCTCCAGGTATATATTTATCTATATAATAGTTAAGATATCAGTATCCTTGAATCTACCCTTTCTCCAGGTATATATCTATATAGATAGTTAACATATCAGTATCCTTGAATCTACCCTATCTCCAGGTATATATCTATAGATAGTTAATATATCAGTATCCTTGAATTTACCCTATCTCCAGGTGTATATCTAAAGATAGTTAATATATCAGTATCCTTGAATCTACCCTATCTTCAGGTATATATCTATATAGATAGTTAACATATCAGTATCCTTGAATCTACCCTGTCTCCAGGTATTTATTTATATAGATAGTTAACATATCAGTATCCTTGAATTAACTCTATCTCCAGGTATATGCATAGAGAATAGAATATATAGAGAGGAATTTATTGGAAAAAAGTGTAAAACGGCCATTTTGTTGTACTGTTTCCATACTGCAGGTGTACTTCACATATTTATGCTATATAACCTTTTGGGCCCTGGAATATCATTATATAGAAAATCTAAAATTATTGTTAAAAGAAAACCAAATTATGAAATAGGCTGGTTTCATAATTGACCAATGATCATTTCACATAGACTCTATGCCTTCCACTTTACAAACGATGATNGGCCACTTGCTCTCCGACATCTTGTTAAATAACAACCTTTCCCCGGGTGAAATTCCTCACTGTATTTTTAGGGCCCTGGATTTCCTGGATTTCCACCAATGGGCCCTAGAATATTTTCCAATTACATTGCAAATTATAAATAGTGTATAGCTGTAGTTTGTCCCTTTGGGTCCCAAAAAAATATTTAGGGACTGTAAGCGTAATTTCAAGCAACTCCCCATGCGTATATGGCAATGGCCGATTCACAACGGTACGCTAAACCTTAACAAGAAATTGTCGTTTTTCTAGGTTTAAAGTGATTTATTCTGAAGATTCCTGTATGTTTCCTGTAATGGAAATGCACAAGTTACTTTTGTATAGAACACGCAATTAAAAGTACAATTAGTTTTGAAAATTATAAACATTCGATTATATACAATTCATACTTGATCAGACAAAGCTTTTAAGGTTACAGTTGTGAACTGGGCACTTACATCTTTGCATGGAGGGTAACTTGAAATTATGCTTACAGTTCCTTTAAATAGTAATGGTCATGCTAAGCTGTCAATGCCCGATTCACAACGGTACCCTTAGAAGCATAAATTAGAAAGTCATTTTAATAAAACAGAAAACCGATTTTTTTTCAAATGCGGTTTCTTTACAAAAGTGAGTTTTACATTATTTTTGCAGGAAAACAAAGGATTTGACAGAATTAAGCACTTTTAAACTTCGAAAAACTACAATATTTTTCCACATTATATTGATCAGATAAGGTTGTGTGTACGGAGGTTTCTTTTCAAATCAATAATGTTTCTGAACAATACAACCAATATTTTTTAGCCGCCCCAAAAAGTCATTTTATTTGATTTACCCCAAAGATATATATAAACCAATTCTAGAAAATAATTTTGAAGAAAAAGAAAAATTCAAAGAAACTGCTATATTTTAAGTTTTTCTAACTTTTGCTTTCTGTAAAAATAAATTAAAAATTTAAAAAGTCAATTTTCAGTTGTAATTGGATTACACCACCTGAGAATTGTTGATAATGAGATAAATGCTTGATCTTCTTTTTTATTAATCTCAAGATTAATTTAATCTTTAGTTTGTATCCTAAAAAGTATTCAAAACTTAACCAATAGTGTGGCGAATGAAAAATCTGAAAAATCCTATCAGAATCTTGAAAAATTTAAACTTTATATAAAAAGAAAGAAAAAGAGTGGATTAAGCAGGAAATTCAGAAAAATCGATCAGATCAGATCAGATCGGTAATAAGTGTTTCTTTAGTTCCCAGCTCTGTATATTACATGTAAAGCCGCGTGGTATTGTTGATGCAAGGGGTAGAGATGCTCAGGAAAAATCCGTCAGAAATTTAACGCGGAAAATCCGCAAAGTTTGCTCAGTCCGGCGCAGGATGTTTGACCGTGCGCACGTGGTTCTTTTACTGCTGGTGAGAATAAATTAGTGATTTCAACTCTAAGTGTAGATAGAATATTTATGATGTTAATTTTTCAAGTTTAAACTTAAAAATCCAAGAAATATTAATTTGATTAAGTATAGGACTATACAGACTATATACAATAATATTATCAATTATATCTATTGAAAATAAAAATAAAAATTAAAAAATTATTATAGGATCAAACCCGAGATTCTCAGGCTCCTGTGGGATATTTTCGTTTTTAAATTGGTTGCGTTTTTGTTGAATATGATCAATTTAAGCCTACTACTTTTATACAAAATTGTATATATATATATATATATATGAATTTTCTTATAAATTTGACACAGTTTTATATCAATTTCTCGAGACAGGAACATCAGATAGATGTCTTATAGATATCGTTCAAGTCCTGAGATTCCCAGCTTTCAGCCTATACCCCCCTTTCATTTTTACTTTACACTCCCTTTTAGGATCCAAGAAATATCATTTTGATAAAGTATAGGACTTGCTAATATTAGAAATAACTAATAAGTAAACAATGGAATGCATAAGAAATTTTTTTTATATCACAATCAAGAAACTTTAAACAGTTTTAAACAGTTGTTAGCCATCTTTACTTTTGTTTTGATGTTGACATACAAATGCTAAATTAATTAGTGTAAACATATTATGTATCATTTCCTCTCAGAAAAATTAAAATCGATGTAAATTTAAACCCCCGAGGGATTCAATGATAAACCCGAGGGCGCAGTTTACCATTGAATCCCGAGGGGGTTTAAATTTCCATTGATTCTAATTTCTCTGAGATTAAATGACATTCCTTTGTAAAAAATAACAAATTATTTTTATTATTTATTATTATTTTTAAAAGGGGCGGGATTAAATGAAAATTGTTGCATACCAAAAAACCAGAAATGTGCAATGCATCAGTTTAATGAAACACAAAATGTTTCCGATTATTACAAATTTGCTTAAAAAGGGAAGGGGGGGGGGAGAATTAATTCTAAGGTTAATAGTCGTTAATGATCGCCAAAAATTAAGAAACGGCCTTCCATCGTTAACGAAATTACAAATTGATATCAAAAACTACTAACAAGTTTTTTCTATTTTGAAAAAGTATCCTAGTTAAAACGATTGGTTTTTTTCAACGTTAACGAATAGTTTCTCCTGTCAACATTGAAAATATAAACCCAACACAACCTTAGACCAGCCAGTTTATAGGCAGTGTTAGCCTTGACCTAGTGCATACGTACATCTTTATGGACATTATATATATAAATATATAGATAGATAAAGATATAAAGATAAGAACGTGTTGGAAGGAAGGTATAGGGCTACCCACCAAATAATTACTAATTGTTATTTCAATATGTTTTTTGGCTTCCTTGGGTATTAAATAGTTTAAAAATATCAATTTCATAAGATTTGAAATAAAAATTATGTTTATTAGCACATTCGATCTCCTAAATTACGAAATTTTCCATAATTTTTCGGTTAAATACAATAAAATATTATGACAATGTCTTTATTTTGAAGATTGTTCATTGATCCATTCATTTACTCGGCAATTAAACTTTTAAACATTTTTCAAAATCCATTCTAGATTTTATTACTTTTAAAAAGATTTAAGTAAAAAGAATTATTTGTCTATCAGTCTATCTGTCTACATGTATGTCTATCACATCTGCCTCTTTGTCTATCTGTCTATCTGTCATGCATGTATGTCTATCTATCTTGCTATCTGTCTAAATGTATGTCGTAAATGTCTGTCTATCTGTCTAGATGTATGTCTATATCTATCACATCTGCCTATTTGTCTATCTGTCTATCTATAAATCTCTCTATCTGTCTATATTTATGTCTATCTATCTGTCAATCTATCTACATGTATGTCTATGTATCTATAACATCTCCTTATCTGCCTATCTGTTTATATGTCTATCTGTCTATCTGTCTGTCCGTCTATCTGTTTTTCTGTCTATCTGTCTATCTGTTTTTCTGTCTATCTGTCTATCTGTCTATCTGTCTATCTGTCTATCCGTCTATCTGTCTATCTGTCTATCTGTCTATCTGTCTATCTGTCTATCTGTCTATCTTCCTATCTGTCTATCTGTCTATCTGCCTATCTGTCTATCTGTTTATCTGTCTATCTGTCTATCTGTCTATCTGTCTATCTGTCTATCTGTCTATCTGTTTATCTGTATATCTGTCTATCTGTATATCTGTCTATCTGTCTATCTGTCTATCTGTCTATCTGTCTATCTGTCTATCTGCCTATCTGTCTATCTGTTTATCTGCCTACCTGTCTATCTGTTTATCTGTCAATCTGTCTATCCGTCTATCTGTCTATCTGTCTATCTGTTTATTTTCCTTAAATCAACATCAGATTGAAGCACTAAACAGTGTTTAAATAAAACCACAAATAAATGTTGTTTTCTCAATGTTTAACTGGTCCTTGAACTCTGAATAAACACATGTCTATCTATCATTAACCGTCTTATTCAAGCATATAATAGACGTTTATATCTACTATGCGCGCCATATTTTCTTGTAAAACCAAAAATTCACCAGATTTTCTATTATCATGATAAGATTTTCGAATTTTCTTTAAACTGTATATTAAATAAGCAGACAAAGCATTAAGCAATACAAATCATAGTAATACAAAAGTTTTGCAAATAAAAAAACAGATTACACCCCCCCCCCCTCGGCAATACTAATTAAACAAAGAGAATAGAATATATATTAGAGGGGAATTTAAAGAATCTCTTGGTATGATTTTTTCAGTCCCTTTCAGCCTGAAAGGGAGTTAAAAGTGTACAAATTATGTAAATGTCCACAAATTATATGCAGTAGAGTACATTAATACAGTATGTTCCCTAGACTATACCATTTCAATTTCGAATTTTTAAAGCAGTTAAACAAACTTTAAAATAAATTAGGTGATTAAAAAAAATCATTTGATTTATAGTTATAACGGAATATTATCGTTTGTAAAGTGAAAGGCTAGAGTCTATGTAAAATGATCATTGGCCAATTATGAAATCAGCCTATTTCATAATTTGGTTCATATTAATTTTAGATTTTCTATAAAATGATATTCCAGGGCCCAAAAGGTTGTATAGCATAAATATGTGATGTACACCTGCAGTATGGAAACAGTACAACAAAATGGCTGGTTTACACTTTTTTTTACTAAATTCCCCTCTAATATATATTCTATTCTCTTTGTAATTAACAACAACAACAGTCTGTCAAAATGTTACCAATCTGTCAAACATTTTCGATATCGGTGACCTTGCCTCAAACATTTGAAATTCACAATATTCCGAAGAAAACATCCTTAGGAAAAATTCTGAATTTTCTAAGGGTTTTCATTTCTTAAAAAATTACCCCCCCCCCCCCTCCTTTGAAAATCGTTTTTTTCAAAGACGTCTGGAGCGCAATACATTTGTTGAGAAAAATGAATGATTTTAAGAAATATAATTGTAAATTTTGTGTAAAAATTTCCAAAAGGATGAAATCAAATAATGTATTATTAAATCGAATTTTATTAAACCATTCTACCGTGTTTAATTTTTGGTCCAATTTCTTAAAATATTGGTTTCCTAAATATTGATTTTCAGAGTTGGTTTTCTCGTCGCTGTATAATTTATTTGGAAACAGTTTTGTCTACTTTTTGTATGGTATTAACCCTAACCCAATTGGGCTATATTTTGTCCCTCATGTATGGTATTAACCCTATCCCAGTTGGGCTATTATATTTTGTCCCTCATGTATGGTATTAACCCTATTCCAGTTGGGCTATATTTTGTCCCTCATTTATGGTATTAACCCTTTCCCAATTGGACTATATTTTGACCCTCATGTATGGTATTAACCCTATCCCAGTTGGGCTATTATATTTTGTCTCTCATGTATGGTATTAACCCTATCCCAGTTGGGCTATATTTTGTCCCTCATGTATGGTATTAACCCTATTCCAGTTGGGCTATTATATTTTGTCTCTCATGTATGGTATTAACCCTATCCCAGTTGGGCTATATTTTGTCTCTCATGTATGGTATTAACCCTTTCCCAATTGGGCTATATTTTGTCCCTCATTTATGGTATTAACCCTATCCCAGTTGGGCTATATTTTGACCCTCATGTATGGTATTAACCCTATCCCGGTTGGGCTATTATATTTTGTCCCTCATGTATGGTATTAACCCTATCCCAGTTGGGCTATATTTTGACCCTCATGTATGGTGTCAACCCTATCCCAGTTGAATTTATGGATTTGGTAAAATACGAAGAATTTTGTGTTTTTATATTTTAATATTTTGCATCTTCAGATGATTTGAAGATAGTTTTGAACAGTCCTTTAAAGTTTTTCCTCAATAAATGTTTTTAAGTATTTGAAAAATCACAACCGCAAATACAGGTTTACCCGCTAAGGATGAGATTAAAAAGGCGACCCAAAAATAGGACGATCTCAATGCTGAATTTGGTCTCCAACAGTCTACTAAATGGGTTGCTAAAGAAATGAAAAAAAAACTTGTTTTTGAATGAAAGAGGTTGTAAGAAAGAGAAAAGTTGTATCTAATTCTAATCTCAATTTAACTGTATGTGTCCCACCTCTCATGCATGCATTACCTAAATTGTCCTTGTCAATGCAGTAATTAACGCCTATAGCATAAACGGAATACATATGTATATGAATGAAAACATATTTTCGCATAAGATATAGACATAATCTAATGTTTAAGAAAAAAAATCTGAATTTTGCTTATATCAATTTAAGTGGGGGGGGGGGGGGGGTAAAGGAACCCCCACCCCATAAAATGTATATTGCCAAAACAGTAATGATTCACCTAAACCCTGTTATTAACTATTTATATTAACTGTTATTTTGGTTCGCAGTGTTATAAAGTTTTTGGACAAAAATTTTCTCTTTATCGAGAAGGTTCAAGCTTTTTTAGATTTTGTCCCGAGCTTTAGCGAGAAATCCAAAACTTTATAGC